AGCAGGGAGCCCGACGCGGGACTCGATCCCGGGACTCCAGGATCATGACCTGAGCCGAAGGCAGCCGCCCAACCAACTGAGCCACCCAGGCGCCCAATTCTGCAGTTTTTAACAAACCTCTTTTTCATCGGACATTTTTGTTTTCCTTGTAGAAACAGATCCCACATTGCTGTGGGTGGAGTTCAGCAGTATGCTCATGTGCTGGTGTAAACACGGCCCGTAGCTGTATTTTAGGCAGCCGTAGCCATGTTGCTGTCCCTAAGCCTTTATGTGGCTTCTGGGATCAGGTGTCTTCTGAATCTTTTTTTTTTTAAGATTTATTTATTTATTTATTTGAGACACAGAGAGAGAGAGTGCACGAGCAGGGTTGAGTGGCAGAGGCAGAGGGAGAAGCAGACTCCCTGCTGAGCAGGGAGCCCGATGCGGGGCTTGGTCCCAGGACCCTGGGATCATGACCTGAGCTGAAGGCAGACGCTTAACCAACTGAGCCACCCAGGCACCCCTGTCTTCTGAATTTTTAAGCGCAAGGCAGAATTATATTTAAAAATCTAAACCAAAACAAAACTCACTCCCCTGCCCCAATACTCCAGCACTAATTTGTTAATTTCCTTCTCACTCTGTCTAGGAATATAAGACCTACAAGGAGAACTTTCTAAAACGCTTCCAGCTCACCAAGCTCCCTCCATATCTCATCTTTTGTATTAAGAGATTCACTAAAAACAATTTCTTTGTGGAGAAGAATCCAACTATTGTCAACTTCCCTATTACGTGAGTATTACACTGCTTCACTTCCTCTTAGGGGGAATGAGCTTGAATCTCTTTTCATATTTTTGTACCGTTATTCATTTTGGACTGTGTTAGAGATTGCTGGGAACAGAGGCTACTTACACTATGTAAGTTAAGGTTGTTGTTGGAAGGATACAAATATTTCAGGGACTTCAAAGATAGATGTTTACCTTGAGGCAGTCCTTTCACCTTCTCTCCTGTTGCTTGCTGGGCAGTGTAGTCTTTCATGTAGGGAAAAACTGTTGATGAAAGTAGGGCAGGACCGGTAGGATTCTGCCTGGCTTTGAAGATGATCCCGAGCAGTTAGAGTCTGTACTTCTGTTTGCTGGTCTTTGCATCTTCTTGCATACTGTAGTTAGGCACAGACAGTGGGGATGGTTCCACATTTGTCTTGCCATCTTGGGGTCCTTCCTTATTGGTGAGAAAGATAAATTTTGATGTATGGTCTTGTTTTTAGTTTACCATGCAGTTATCTTTTTTTTTTTTAAGATTTTATTTCTTTATTTGAGAGAGAAAGAATGAGAGAGAAAGCACATGAGAGGGGGGAGGGTCAGAGGGAGAAGCAGACTCCCTGCCAAGCAGGGAGCCCGACGTGGGACTCGATCCAGGGACTCCAGGATCATGACCTGAGCCGAAGGCAGTCGCTTAACCAACTGAGCCACCCAGGCACCCTGCAGTTATCTTTTTATGAACGTCTATGAGTATTTTATTTTATTTTAAAGATTTTATTTATTTGACAGAGAGAGACACAGCAAGAGAGGGAACACAAGCAGGGGGAGTGGGAGAGGGAGAAGCAGGCTCCCTGCCGAGCAGGGAGCCCGATGCGGGGCTCTATCCCAGGATCCTGGGACCATGACCCAAGCCAAAGGCAGACGCTTAACAACTGAGCCACCCGGGTGCCCCGTCTATGAGTATTTTAATGCAAGTTGAGAGGAGTTGTACCAGATGCTTTCATTTTACTACTTTCTAACTCAGTTCCTGCAAGATCCTTTTGGGGGTAGACGGTTGGTTTTCGGTTCTCAGGAGACATGGTTTTTCATACTCTGAAGAAGATACCTCTGAGAACACTGAGAAACCTGGTGGCAGGACTGGCAGGAGGAGTGAGGGTCTCTTTGCTGGTGTTTAGGTCAGAGTGGAGCCCTAAGGCAGCTTCTTGTCGAGAAGGATTTGGGTGGGTATATGACAGAATTAACTTGATGTTTAGCTTAGGGTTGTTTTTTGTTTTTTTGTGTATTTCCCCCCAAACCGTCAGAGTAGTTTGGGAGCTGTAATGTGTAAATGCTCATCCCTTCCTTTCTTTGTCTCTCCATCCCTCTCCATTTCTCACTTGCCCAAACCACACCAAGACTGCCAATTTTCTCCTTTGCAAATGGTTCCAGTTCTTAATTCTGGTAGTGTTTAAGAGGGTAGTATCAGAAAGTAAAGAGGCCTGAGTGCTGTGCCATCCTAGCTGTGGGACTTTGGGCAGGTCATTGGCATATCTTCTGGAGTTACTGACATGGACTTTTGTGAATTTGAAAGTCCATGTAGTGGGGTTTTCTTTCTGAACTGGACTTTTGTGAATTGCCACAGTCATCAGTGTGTTCGTGGGAGGAGGGAGTGCTCTTGACTCAAGGGCAGTTCCGGAGGAAGGAGGACTATGTATCGGTAATAGTTCCGGCTCAGTCACCACAGAAATGGCCTTACTCCATTGGCTTCTTTTATATTGCATCTGGAATGTGTTTATTTGGTAACTGACTTTAGTAGTTTGTCCTTTGGAAAGCTTGCTTTGGAGAAGTTGAGAAAAAGATAAATTCTTAGCTAGTCAGCCTTTTAGAGACCAGTTCTGGAAACCTGTACTTTAAATGCTTTATGCATTATGGTTCTAGATTAGCTAAAGCCTCCATTTTTCTTTTTTTTTTTTTTAAGATTTATTTATTTTAGAGAGAGAGTGCGTGGTCGAGAAAGGAGAGAGAGTGATTACATGTGCGAGCGGGGGGAGGGGCAGAGGGGGAGGGAGAGGAAGAGGGAAAGAATCCCAAGCAGACTCCACGCTGAGCAAGGAGTCTGATGTGGGACTCGATCTCATGACCCATGAGATCATGACCTGAGCCAAAACCAGGAGTCGGATACTCAACCGACTGAGCCACTTAGGCACCCCTAAAGTCTCCACTTTTTTGAAAAGGACCCTTTTTATACCTAATTTTCTCCTGTGTTTTATTCATAACACATCTTTTTACTGGAGATTGATCAGACTTGCAGTGATTAGGTGCCTTCTGCTCATTTGGAGGTAGGTTTTTGGAGCACAGGATTAGAGCTGCACTTCCAGCTAATTAGGTGTTCTCTGAATTGGACTGTTCTGATTGGGAGAGGAGTATAGTGGGCTCCTTTGGCTATTTTCTAAAACAAAATGATTTAACATGTATTCATTCCCTTTTATCACTAAACGGTTTTGGTTCAGTCTTGAAAGCTTGAGTACTAATACTCCTGAAGATTCTCTAGGACTTGTTCAGACAAACAAGTCTGGACAGCTGTTGTTAAAGCTGAGGAGAGCTAGCTTGAGAAGACAGCTCTTAGCAGCCAGCAGGCCTTCCGGCTCTCTGGAGCTCACGTGGATTTCTTTCAACTCGTATCTAAATTATCTTTAACAATAAGTGTTGCAGTCTATATGGTACACTGTCGGTCTGTAGAAGTAAATAGCTATCACCAACATGAAAGCTGCATAATATAATTAGAACAAAGTTGCATGTTAATTACTACATGGTTTACATAGAAAGTTTTTGTATTTTTGGACAGGTAATATATTCACAGTCTATAATTCAGAGGGAGATACACATTTGGAAGTGACCACGGACATGACCACTGTTAGCATTTCCTGTGAATCCGTCACGGATGGTGTTATTGGAGTTCATGTTTTGAGTGGTAGTACATCAGATGGCATGTCAGTTCTGGAGATATTAGAAATATGATACAGCCTCTCTCTTTTTTTTTT